AGAAAGAAAGAAAGAAAGAAAGAAAGAAAGAAAGAAAGAAAGAAAGAAAGAAAGAAAGAAAGAAAGAAAGAAAGAAAGAAAGAAAGAAAGAAAAAGAAAACATGATTAAAACTTAAGTTTGACCTTCAAGAGTCAATCAATCTATCATCATCCTCATAGCTAAAACATGCATCAAAGCTGATGTAGTTATGTCCCCCCAAAACTCACTGAAGCTTTAATTGTGTCCCCCAAGTTTTATGTATTAGAAAATTGGCCCCCACTGTGACTGTTAGGAGGGTGGAAAATCCTGTTATGGTGATTGAAAGGTGGAGCCTTGAAGAGGTGATTGGATAGTAGGACCACACAGTAGTGAACGGATTAAAAATGGTAGTCAGGGGCCGGCCCGGTGGTGCACTGGAGAGTGCGCCGCTTGGAAGCGCAGCGGCGCTCCCGCCGAGGGTTCGGATCCCTTGTGGAGACCGGTTCCCACTCACTGGCTGAACGCGGTGCAGGCGCAACACCGAGGGTTGCGATCCCGTTGCCGGTCCCCGGTACGGGCGCAACACCGAGGGTTGCGATCCCGTTACTGGTCAGTAAAAAAGACAAAAAGGAAAAAAAAAATGGTAGTCAGGGGCGTGATCCTGAGGGCTTTAAAAGAAGAGGAGAGTTTCTTTCTCTGCTCTCTGCTTCCACCATCTTGCAATGTGAGACCCTTGGGTCACTGTCACCACCACCAGATGGACTGTGGACTTCCCAGCCTAAGAAACTGTAAGCAATAAATTTCATTTTCTTTATAAATTACCCAGTTCCAAGTGTTTTGTTATAAGCAACAGAAATGGACTAATACAGCTGAATATTTCCTATGTGCAATTCTATGAGATTTCATTATGTTTTATACTCCTATGTGGTAATCTTTATCACTTTCATCTAATAGATAAGGAAATTGAACACAGAGGTTAAGAAACTACTTCCACTTTAAAAATCAGCATACACTTTATACAGAACATGAAACATTTTTCTACCATATTTCCAGGTGCCTTTTCCACACCTCCCCCAACATAAACCATAGAGAGATTGATACTTTTAAAACACAAATTTTGTTTGCTCATTTTATGTTCCTGCTTAAAATCCTCAAAGAGCACTATATTGTATACAGGATCAAGTTCAAACTCTAGTTTGGCTACTAACTTACGCACACAGAAAGACATGGTGGTTAAAAGCTTAAACTCTATAGTCAAAAAGACCATGGTAAAATCCTCACAGACAATTTTAATTATTACTGTATGCAAAGGGCCTGACATACTCATATAGCAAGACCTCAAAAAAAAATGGTAGTTATTATTATTTTCTCCCAGATTCTCCCAGAACAGTGTTCTCAAATGAGGGCAATTATGCACCCCACCCCACCAACACCAACACCAGGAGACACTTGGCAATGTCTGGAGACATTTTTGGTGTCACAACTTGAGATGAGAAGGGTTGCTACCACTATTTACCGGCTAGAGGCCAGGGATACCACTAAACAGTCTACAATTCACAGTCCTCCTACAACAGAGTTAGCCAGCCCAAAATGTCAGTAGTGCCAAGGTTGAGAATATATGTTTCAGAGAGATTCTGATTTAGTTACTGCAACAAAGAAAGTTCTTTTATATTCACTAATGATAACAACCATCCACAGGAATTGAGGAGTTAAATAGAATTATTACTGATATTCTGTTTAAACAGTTTCCAAATTTAAGCCTGGAAATAGTATTAGTGAATTAATAACCTGAATATTAAGCACACAAAAATACAGAATGTCCTCTAACCATGAAAGCTAATTTGTTTTTCCATTTTGATGTTTGAGTAAAAAAACCTGAAATACACATCCGACAAAGGACTAATATCCAGAATATATAAGGAACTCAAACAACTTTACAAGAAAAAAACAAGCAACCCAATCAAAAAATGGGCAAAAGAGCTAAGCAGGCATTTCTCTAAAGAAGATATACAAATGGCCAACAGTCATATGAAAAAATGCTCAACATCACTCAGCATCCGGGAAATGCAAATCAAAACCACACTGAGATACCATCTCACCCCAGTTAGGATGGCAAAAATCCAAAAGACGCTGAAAGATAAATGCTGGCATGGTTGCGGAGAAAAAGGAACTCTCATACATTGTTGGTGGGAATGCAAAATGGTACAACCCCTATGGAAAATGGTTTGGAGGCTCCTCAAACAGCTGAAGATAGATCTACCATACGACCCAGCTATCCCACTGCTGGGAATATATCCAAAGGAACGGTAATCATCAAGTCGAAGGTATACCTGTACCCCAATGTTCATCGCAGCACTCTTCACAATAGCCAAGAGCTGGAATCAACCCAAATGTCCATCATCGGATGAGTGGATACAGAAAATGTGGTATATCTACACAATGGAATACTACTCAGCTATAAAAACAAATGAAATACTGCCATTTGCAACAACATGGATGGACCTTGAAAGAATAATACTGAGTGAAACGAGTCAGGCAGAGAAAAAGAAATACCACATGTTCTCACTTATTGGTGGGAGCTAAAAAAAAATAAAAACAAAAAACAAATCAATTCACTCACATACACACACACACACACACACACACAAAAAAAAAAACCCTGGAAATAGCATTAGTGAATTAATAACCTGAATATTAAGCACATAAAAATACTGAATGCCCTCTAACCATGAAAGCTAATTTGTTTTTCCATTTTGATGTTTGAGTAAAAAAACCTGAAATACAACAAATTAAGTGGCATCTTATTAAAAAATCATGTATTCAGATCCTTAAATGAAAACTTTGTGAAAACTAACGGCTTTTTTTTAGTGTCACAATGTAGAAACAAAGGTTTACAACAAATCTACTTAATTAGCATTGCATTATTACACAGGGATTACCAACAAAGAAAAATAGAACGCAGCCTAATTTTCATAAAAGCATTTCAGGTTTTATAATAATATTTTTTAATCAAAATTGTAAAAACTTCTTCAAGCTCCAAGCCCTCAAATTCATTGGAAAAAGGATGAAATTAGATGATGAAATATAAATTTCAAATAATTTTGGACACCATTTTTCTTTAAGAAGAAAATGGATAGTTTTCTTTACAAAGAAAAATGGATAATTTATTAAGCCAGTATACTCAATTGTCAACAAGTTAAACGTAGGTCAAAATCTGAGAGAACTGCCCAAGAGTCCTCATAAAATCTCACCATGGTCTAGAACTGAGACCTGACCACAGCTGATACCACTTCATACCCATTAGGATGGCTATTATAAATAAAATCAAAATAAATTAAAATAAAATAAAAAACACCAGAAAATAAGCACTGGCAAGTATGTGGAGAATTGGAACCATTGTTAATTGCTGGTGGGAGTATAAATTATGCAGACACTATGGAAAACAGCACAGTGGTTCTTTAAAAAGTCAAACATAGAATTAGCATTTGATCCAGCAATTCCATTTCTAGATATATACCCAAAAGAACTGAAAGTAGAGACTTGTACACCAGTGTTCATACAGCATTATTCACAATAGCCAAAAGGTGGGAACAATCCAAATGTCCACCAACAAATAAATGGATTTTTTTTAAAGTGGTATACAGTATACATACTATGGAATATTACTTAGCCTTAAAAAACAATTAAACTCTTACACACTCACCAACATGGACAAATCAAAACACATTATGCTAAGTGAAATAAGTCTCATACAAAAAGAAAAGTATTGTTATAACTCTGCTTACATGAGTTACCCAGAATAGGCAAGTTCATAGAGAAAGAAAGAAGTTACTAGGGGCTGCAGGGAGAGGGAGGCAAGTAGGACAGTGG